TTCTTTGTTTCTTTGTTTCTTTGTTTCTTTGTTTCTTTGTTTCTTTGTTTCTTTGTTTCTTTGTTTCTTTGTTTCTTTGTTTTTGTTTTTGACGTCATCTTTCTTGACTTTTACCTTTGGAAGGTCACTAACTCATAGAGTCAAAGAGTAGTTTCTGCTGGAAGATAATGATGGCAGGATTATCATGTATGTGTGGTTTATCATCTGTAAATTGCCAGATAGCAACCTGGCAATTTCATACAGAATCATAGGGTATCAGTTTCAGATTGGTTAGGGTTCTCTGAAGTGTAAAATATATACCGTTTCTGAAACCAGTACATATAACTGTATTTCAAATAAGGTATCATGCTGGGTCATAGCCACTCACTCTCTATCCATTATTCTATTTCCACTCTAACTTTTATCAGATTTTAATAATTTTGAAATTTTAGTGAAATGAAATGAAATATATTCTTCCTTCTGCCTCTTCCTTTATGAGAAGTGCATGTTGGCCAATAGCAAAGACAGATTTCATTTGGTTTGATGTTAGAAGTATGGCATTTGTGATGAAAAGTCATGCTGAAATTTGGCCCAAATCCTAATAAAAATATATATACCCCTCTCTTATACAAGGAAGGACCATCAAGATGTAAATACCTGGGGGAAAATTGTGAGTGTTCCTTACACTTAAATTTGTTTTCTACTGATGGGAGTGGGGACAGATTTTTTTCCATGGAATAGTGGAAAAACATGATCTAAGCAGGTACAGGGTTCTGTCTGTTGCTCTTCATTAGAACAAACCTGAAAGCTCAAAAGAATGGAAGGAGCTCCAGGTTGCTGTGATGGGGAAGTGATGAAAGTTTGAGACAGAAAATGGGCTGCCATCCCTATGCCAGCCAGTGAGCATGTGACCCCAGAGATACAAGATGAGGGGAAAGGAGAAACTCACACAATGCAACATTTTAATTCCTTGAAGAGAAGAAGATGCAGACTCTTCTTGTGGACACTGCTGGTAAAGACACCATTATGTCATACCAGTGCAAGGCCAGCTCTGTGTCTGAAATCATTTGTACAACACTGTGTAAGGCTTCAAGAATCAGAATGACATGATCAAAATAGTAGATACTGCCATGGATAAATCTTTCTTTTTTTCTTTTTTTATGTTGAGCTTTTCTTCCTTTAAGTTCTCCTTTCTCTGTAATCATTGTGATAGGCAAAAGTGGATTTATTTTTATGGAAATGCTTATGTGTCTTTGGATTAGTGAGAGCTTTTAAGGAGCATATAACAAATCATCAAACCTGAACAGAATCTAATTAAAATCCAGGTGATTGGATTCAGGTCCTCCTATATTACAACTAGTATTACACTATTATAAGCAGAATACAACCACAGAGGAGGGGAAAAAAAGTTACTTGTTTTACTTGGGAGTCCTCATTGATCTCCTTCACAGCAAAGGCCAAGGCAAGGAAGTCCTGATAGAATTTGGTTATTATGCTGCCAATAGGTTAAATACACCCACTGAAAAAGTAATTTTATAATTCTTGTAATGTGGCACCATTTCTATATGAATAAGAAACATTTCTGTCTGTGATGGAGGTATGAAGCTGATAGTTTTTCTAAAATGCAAAATAATTTGTATAGATTTCAAATATACTTTTTACAAAGGGTTTGTATGATTTGCAAAAAAACAGGTAAAACCTGTTTTACACCAAGTAAAATGAGAACCTTTTTTTCAAGCTACTGCACTTATTTTCTATCAATTCAGGACCAAATAGAATACAAACAGATTCAGCAAGTATCACTCATTTATTGTGTGTTTGTTGTATGAGTGATAATGCAGAACTTTTTAAAAATTACCTGTAGCTCACTAAATGTTCTTCAAAAGATTTATTGCACCAAAGTTTCACACATTTCATGAGACAGACTTCAACACAGTGAAAAGAAAATTATTTCTTTTCCCACAACCAGATGAAACACAAAGAAGGCTCAGATTATGTACAAAAACCTGCATTTATGCTCAGAAAGCTTTATTCATATTACCAATTTTGGGGGATCTGGCTGGGATTAGGAAATGCATGGGAAGAAGAAAAAAAAATCCTTACAGTGGTAAGTGATAAGGTTTCACAGAAGGATGTTCCTGAAATTGAATTTCATAAAATTGGTAAATAATATGAGACACCATCCCACCAATGATGAGGTCACCAGGCTGGTACCACTGATGTGGAACGGGGAAGGTTTCACCTTCAGGACACTTCACTGTAACTACTTTGTGTACCGGGAACATCAGAAAAAACAACATTGTGACTCTATTGTTATGGTGAAAATATCTGTGTCTTCTATCCCAACTGTCGCGAACTTTGTATTAATCCAAAGGTTGATCCAATGATTAATCCAAGGTTTGTATCTGAGAATTCACCTAATGAGAAAATCCACCATTGTCTATTTTAAGATCCATGTGAGTGCAAATTCATATCTTGAATCTCACCAGGATCTGAAGAGATATTCTGGCAGATGAGACAGGAGGGAGGGAACCTGTAGGAAAGAATCTGACAGAGCCATGATTACCCCTTGTGCCAATCTCCCTCTGGTTCAAGGGTTGCTTTATAACCAAACTGATATTTGTCTCTTGGTTGTTGTTGAATCTGAATAGCCTTCTACACAGCCTTTGATCTTTTGGCCTAACTAAGAATATAGGGTGATTCCTGTAGGAGATAATTATTTTGTTTTTGATGATGAGATAGTAAGTGGTTGATGGTTAAACTCTTGTTTAAATGAGCAAATGGCAATTAAAGTAGTACAAGGGAGGTTGGCATTGCAAAATAGCCTTGACTGTTGAAATTCATGTTCACTTCTTGCAATGGAGCAGGGCTCCCATTTTCCATGTAAAATTAAAAGAGTAGTTTAATAGAGAAGCAGAAACAGAGCCACCCAGAGTCACCCATTGGGGGAGATGAGCAGCATACAAATTTAATAATAAACAAACAAACAAACAAACAAACAAATGTTTTTATATATTGAGGAATGACAAAGAAGCCAATAATCCCTTGGAGGAAGTCATCCATATTTTCAGCAGAGAGTGCTCATATGAATCAATAAGAATAATGATAGTTATATTTAGAAGTCTGCATTAGCCATGCCCTGGGGCCCAGTGATCTACCCCTCCAAATCTTTCACTCTCATATGTGTGAAGGCAGGAATATCATGATGGTGATTTCAGGAGCTTCCAGCTATTTTAGCCTGATATCCTGTGACACATTGTCCCCATCTGATATTTGGCCCATTTTTGAACCTGAAATTTCTTTTGTTGCCTACCCTCTCTCCAAATTTCATCATGATCTTTCATTTTTCAAAAGTATTATGCTCAGCAACAACGGCCCTCCCGCTTTATAAAATTTCCACACAAATCCTCCTGGGTTGGAAAGAAAAAAAATATCCATACTTTTTGCTTTGTGCTTTATGAATGCTTCTCTTTTTCTATTCCAGAAAATGCAGAATAGATCCCGCCCCCCTGCTTTCATATATACAGTCCACCTTCTTTTCCATAAGCATTCAGATGTATAGATGCTATATAATGTTATGCCCTCATTTTAACAGGTTTACAGGACTTCCACCCACACCACCTTAGAAAGGAGGGGATTTCTGTATTATTTACACAATATATACGCTGTGTGGTGTTTTTACTTAAACTGAAAATGAGAAGGCAGTACATGTCTTTATTCTATTTGGAATTGGTCTGGGGTATGATGCCAGAGGTCTTATTATGGTCTAGAATTCAACCTTTTGGGGTTCAATTCCAGGAGAGGGCTTAACTCCACAGCAAAATCTGTGACCCAAGTTCCAAAAACAACAAAACCATTCCCATCTCTCACTATCTCCCATCCCTCCCTCACTTGCTGTATGAGATCTATTCTTGCTTCTGGTTTCAATTACTTATTCACGTATAGTTGCCATGGTAGATCATAGTTTAGATCATATGTGTGAAGGCAGGAATATCATGATGGTGATTTCAGGAGCTTCCAGCTATTTTAGCCTGCTATCCTGTGACACATTGTCCCGATCTGATATTTGGCCCATTTTTGAACCTGAAAGTT